AATGCTATAAAGTGGGAAATAATTAGGAAGTGTAGGGCAGCTAAGAAACTGTGGATTGATAGGATGTGTAAAAAAGTTTGAAGTAGGTAAAACAGATGAGGCTTATAGTATAATTAAAAGGAATTTTGGAGATGTAGGATACAGTAGTAATAATACGAGGGTGGATTGATAAGTTTCCGGCCTAACCAAGAGATGACGCCACTAGGCCTACCTTGAGGTGACATTCTATAGTACCATCCTTGGATAGCTTGTAGCTATAGTTTCAGCCCGATCTCCTTGCTAGTGTAGGTTTGACAGCACGCTGAACAAGACGCCTCTGTGGTTTTCGTAAAAATGGAAAAGCAGGAAAATCGTGCTGTCATCAAATACTTTTATTTGAAGGGGTTAACGCCGAAGGAAATTAAAAAAGAGATGGACTCAACACTGGGGACATCCTCCCCGTCATATTCAACCGTTAAGCAGTGGGTTTCCGAGTTTAAAAAGGGTCGTGTGAGCACCTCTGATGGGCCTCGCTCAGGACGCCCCGTTGAGGTCACAACTCCAGATATGATCGAAAAAATTCATCAAATAGTGCTGGGAGACCGCAGATTGAAAGTGCGTGAGATAGCTGAGACCTGTAAGATGTCATATGAACGTGTGCAACATATTTTGCACCAACATTTGCATATGGAAAAGCTCTGTGCAAGATGGGTGCCGCGTTTGCTAACAGTCGACCAAAAATTGATTCGAAAAAACATTTCTACCGCAAATTTGTCATTGTATAAGCGTAATCCAAGCGAATTTTTGCGTCGATTCGTAACCGTTGACGAAACGTGGGTCCACCACTACACTCCTGAAACCAAAGAACAGTCTAAACAGTGGATTGGACCAGGGGAACCAACTCCAAAGAAGGCAAAAACAATTTTTTCGGCGAACAAGGTTATGGCTACTGTTTTTTGGGATGCAAGAGGTATTATATACATTGATTACCTTGCAAAGGGTAATACTATCACTGGTCAATACTACGCAGACTTATTGCAACGTTTGAGCCACGAGGTGAAAATTAAACGACCTCATCTGGCGAAGAAAAAAATCTTGTTTCATCACGATAACGCACCAGCGCACACGTCAATCGTTGCGACGGCTAAAATCAACGATCTAAAGTTTGAATTGATGCCGCACCCTCCTTACTCTCCAGACCTAGCCCCGAGTGACTATTTTCTGTTCCCTAATCTCAAAAAATGGCTTGGCGGTAAGAGATTTGCGGACAATGAAGAAGTAATCGAAGCTGTAAATGGTTATTTTGAGGAGCTTGACGAATCAGTCTATAGAGATGGCATTAATAGACTGGAACACCGCTATGAGAAATGTATCAGCCTTGGAGGAGATTATGTTGAGAAATAAAAAAAAAAAAATTTTAAAAACCTTGTTTTTCTTGGTCAGGCCGGAAACTTATCAATCCACCCTCGTATAAGAAGCGAGGCAGGGGTCATTTTGATAGAAAATGAGGAAAAGGCAAATAGGTAGAAAGAATATTTAGAGAACCTATCCCCCTAGATGAGCTAGGTTGTCCCATAATGAGGGAAGAGTTCGATATAGCATTAAAAATCTTAAAGAATAATAAGGCGTCAGGTGTAGATGGGATACAGGGAGAAATTCTAAAACACGCAGGACAAGAGGTTAGAGATCGTATGTTTAAGCTAGCTAGTCACATTTACGAGACGGGGAGAGTTCCGGAGATTACAAACGGAACGTGGTAGTAACCATACCTAAAAATAGAGGAGCGGATAGGTGCTTAACTTCCCATGCGTTAAAAATCTTAACTGGAATTGTACAGAGAAGGATGGAAAAAAGGGCGGAATAACTATTAGGGGAAGACCAATTTTGATATACAACCAATAGAGGAACGCGGGAGGTCATTCTAACTTTACGGAAAACAATAGAAGAAACGATAGAAAAAGGAAAGAATGCGTACCTACATAGGATTCGTAGATTTATAAAAGTCAGGACGAAAGGAGTAGTAGGGATATAAAGTAGGATAGGATATCGCAGGGTCGAGTCACTTCTATGCTCGCGAACGGTCAATTTAGAAATTCGAAAGAGATTGTTAAAGGAGTATGTTTGAAGCGCGGCACTATACGGGTGCTAAACATAGATGGTAGGCGCGGCGGAAAAGTAAAGGTTAGAAGTTTTCGGAATATGCTGTTATAGACGAATGGTGAGGATACCGTAGATAGAGGTTAGAAATGAAGACGTATTAGAAAGAACAGACGAACAGAGGCCGCTATTGGGATCCGTCAAATGGCCATACACCATCTGGTGGCAAAATTTATAACTCGAATGAGGGAAAAATTTACATAGGAACTGTGCACGCAAATTGTAAAATTGTTTATTAAAATAATAAAACACGTTAAAAAAGTAAAAATTTTTTTGATGATGGAGTCGACGAAGTTTTCTTCTAAAGTTAAATCAAATAAAAAGTTAATATGTTCAGTGAAAAGCTGCAATAGCACTTCAGACATAGATCTTCACTCTTCACCTACATTAACTACTTTCCAATAAAAACTAACCGTTTTATATATGTAAAAAATATATTCGGAAAATTAGAGAAAAAAGTAAACTAATAGAAGCTTGGATGAAAGCAGTAGGTATCAAAGAAGTGAATTCCGGAATAAAAATTTGTTCACGTCATTTTAATGCACATGATTATATTTCAGCAAGTATTTACCATCAGCCATAACCTTAATATTTAAAACTAGAATCATACTAAAATTATAAAGTGAGAAATTATTTATTCCTGTGTAATTGATTTAACACAATTCTAATGATACGATATAAGTATTTTGAGGTTAAGAACCTACCTGCTGCAATACAACAAAGTTGCAATAATGTGTTTGCAACGTTCTCTTAAATCGGCTTTGCACGTGCAAGTCATTGATATGATATTGCTTAAATCACCCAGAATCACCTCACCAATTATATAACGTGAATCACTTTTTAAATCCGAAGTTTGTAAAAAGTAGGCAGTAAACTTGACGGAATTTGAAGGCTAGCTTCCGGATTTGTTATTTCCGAATTTTATAATGTGATTGGCATTAAAAACACGCTCACCTTCAACGAAATTTCCTTTCCGAGGCTTTGTGACAGCCAAATCACATATTGTGTCAATACTTATCATTTTATCGTAATTTAAAAACTTGGAAATTGCACGGTACACTATAGGAACTACGATAAATTTTCCCTAATCGGCGCCATGTTTTTAGGCTCCTCCCATTTGACGGATCCCAATAGAAGTCAATAAAAAATAGGCAAGATAGGTTTGTAAGACCCCTTCTCAGGCATTAAGGTCTATTAAAAAACATATTAGAAACAGGAGTTACGAGGAGTAGAGATAGGCCTAGATTAGATTACTGTTCGCAAATAGTTAAAGACGTGGGATGTTTTAGTTTTAAATGTGAGTATTAGCTCAGGATAGGAAAGAGTGGAGGTGCGTGTCCAACTAGGTAATCTTAGGATTGACGACCTCATGATGATGAAAGTTTAATACGTATCTTTGTATAATTCGAATTTAGTACCTATTTATCATAAGTCCTCAAGAAAGCCCAAAAGGAATAATATGCCTAAATAATTGAGGGGTGCAAATAAACCTTTTGTTGCAATAACAATAATAAATCTCTTATTTTATTAAAAAAGTTTAATAATTACCTAGGCACACAAACATTACGAGTTACTGAATGTATTATTACTATTGAACTACTGTATCTTTTTAAGAGTAACAATTTTTGGTTTAATGGTGAAATAGTTTTAGTACAATTTCTTATTAGAATTCTTATTACATGAACATAGACCAATCAGGTTCTCGTAACCATGAATTCTTTTGTTAGAACGGGAGAGGCAGCTTAATAATTAAAATGCAAATAAGGTCTGTCAAAAACATTAAAAAGTTTAATAATTACATTTGTTTAATGAAAAATAAGGATCATAAACGGTATTACAAGTAGATGGCTCATATGTATATAGGGACTTCAAGGCGTTATTTTCGGGGTTATACTCAGAGCATTTTGTTTTGAAAAACCGCATTATTTTTAAGATACACGATAATAAATGTTGTTCGACGAAACCCATTTTGATATTTTTAAAATTATTAATGCCCAGGGGAGGCAAAATTCGGAGCTTGAGAATTTTTTTTTGCATTATCAAAATGTGAATTTGCAAGTAAAGCTCTTAGAGTTTAAAATGCAATAATTGTTCGAAATTACTTTCTTTCAATACTTCGGAAGAAATATGAATCAACAATCAGATAGCTGAGTACCAAATTCTCGATTCGCTAGGAAGTCGATTGCCGTTTCAAAAGAAAAAAACTTTCTTCAACAGCATTCCCGAACGGATCAACTGAGTTTTATGGGATTTACAGCATTCGGCGTTGTCTTTTTTTTAGTTGACGGTTTACAAGTCGAAAAGAAGAATGAAGAGAAATACAATGTGGTTTATGTATGATTATTTTTAGTGTAATTAGTCGTAAGTTTTTAGCAGCAACATATATGAAGATCATTTTTTGTTTTTGCTTTTGGTAAATTTTAAAAACATTTTCGCATTGAAAATTGTGAAATTTCGGGGAGACAGCCACTGCAGCCCATTAGTTAAGTATCCCTGAACAATAGTTTCTTAAAATATATTCTTAAAGTAATTTCCAATTCTTCATTAGAATTTTACATGTTTCTTTCTTTGTAGCACTTACTAAATGAAAACAATTTTTATCAGTAATGAATTATGCAGTCTAAAATGTAATAAAAAATATCAGTAAGTACCTATAGGTAAATACTAGCTATTAACTATTCTATAACTAAAATTGATAAATTTGCAATTCACAACAGGTTGCATGTTAGTTATTATTATTGCACATGTTAAACATACATTTTTAAAATATTTTTGACTACTATAGTGAAAAATATTCCGAAAGAGCTTTGTAATGTTTATTAATAAATTCCTATGCATATTATTTTTTTAAGGGGTATAAAAGACATTGTTTCAAACAAAGTTTTCAACAGTTGTAAGCACGGCATTCAAAATGAAATTGTCTATTCTTTTCCTAGTTTTAGTTCTTCAAGTAATTCTTACAACAGGTAAGTCTGTTTCTTTTCGTGTTAATACTTCTGGTTAAACCTAATTCAAAACTGCTTTTGTTATAAGAACATTTAAAAGACTTTAAATAATAAGATATTACCATATTTACATGTATCTACTCATACTATTTACAATTTTGCTTCTATATCTCTTACTGATTGAAATTTTCTTTTTTCTTTTCGTTTTTCGCAGAATCGAATGGAGAACAATCCTTCCATCCAAGAAATTTAAAATCTCGTTCCAATAGCAAAAATTATCATCATACTGCTGAATCCCGTCAACACCAGCTACCTAACACCAATCAACATGTTCTGCATACCAGACACTCGAAATCACATCCACTACAAGGTAGACATGTAGTAGGACACCATAAAGCATCAAGTCGTCATTCCGCAAACCAAAAAAATACTCAAGAAAAAAACAGCACTATAGATAACGAATATCTATGCTACCTTTGTTACAAACATTACAAATTTATTGGCGATGGAGAGTCAGATTGGTCAGACGGAAATATTGGTGGTAAAAGCGAAGATAACAAAGACAAAAAGCAAGGATCTGTCAATAATAATAATGTAGATAAAAAAGGCGGAAAAGACGGACAAACTGGTGACAAATCTGGCAATGATATTGAAAAAGGCGGAGAAAATGAAACTGATGGCAAATTAAATAAAGATGATGGAAAGAAAGGAACTGAAGTGTCTGGCAAGAAAAAATCTGACGAGGGAAACGGAAAAGGTGGAAGCAACGCATCAAGTGATAAAGAATCTGGCAGTGAAAATTCATCATCATCGGGCGGCGAAAATTCATCATCGGGTTGGAATGGTAATAACGATAACCCGTTCTTCATCTTCTTGCAATATTTGTGGCCATACCTTACAAACAGTGCAAGCAATATAACGGGAGGTATGGGCAATAATAATAGCTTCATACCTGGATTTGATCCGGCTATGTATCCAGGCATCAATTATGGTGGAAATATTTTCGGTGGTAGTAATGGAACAGGCGAAAGTGGTGGAGGAAATAGCAACGGTAGCGGAGGAGGCTTCTTTAATGATATTTTCCAAAGATTCCTTTTCTTTAGTAATTTATTCCAAAAACTATTTGGAATTAATAATGGACTAGGGGGAAGCGGTATATCTTTTGGAGATAATGGAACTGGTTCAGAAGGAAACAGATTAAGTCACATGATGCAACAATTATTTAGTGGTGGTGGACTATCAGGCGGCCGAGGGAATAACGTAATCACTTCAAGTGGAGGTGGAAGTTCTGGAACAGAAAATAGCGGATGGCCGTTTTTTTCAATAGGTAATATCTTCTTTTTTAACACAAACGTTAATAAAAAAATAATATCATGAGTTTCAGATTGATTAAAATAAGCGTTGTAAATGTTTATACTTTATATTACAGGATTTCCACATCAAGAAAGTAGCAAAAACGATTGAATAAGAAAACACACGATTATGCTGGATATACATATCTCTTTGTAACCAAATTCTGTAAAGTTAAATTAAAAATAAACCGTAGCAAGAAAATTTTTATTTGATTTACAAATCAATTGGTAATTTATTACATACTTAAATAACTACAGATGGTTTAATGGATACGCCATCTATAGAGATTTAATGCCTATAATTGTGGGTTCATTATGTTTGACAAAATCTTTTTGACTTTTTTTGAAGATCATCGACTTGCCAAACTGAGCACACGTGTAGATGTATCAGCATCATATATACATAGATCTACGTTGTGGGTTCACTTCTTAGTACCTATCTAATGCTAACACACATAATCAAAGTGTTGGAAGAACAATTTCTTTAGAATTACTTATTAGATGATCATAAAGCCAAAGAAACTATTTTAGCATTAGCATTATGTATCTTTTTGCTAATTAAAATGGGTACCAAAACACCAAGAAACTAAAAAATGAGGACATGAAAAATATACTTCAATCACTTCAAAAGAAAAATAAAAAATTAATCTTATAGCGTTTTAGAGGATTCAGACTCTTCAGCAACCAGTGATAGTGTACACACCAATACTGACCTAAAAACACATAAATGTATGTATTGATGATACTTGTTCGGAATGTGGAGTCAGTTCAAAAAAAAGACGAACAAATCTAAATAATTCCCTCTATCACGAAATTAAAATTATTTTCGATTTAGTTTGGTCAAACATAACATTTAAAAAATATTTTAGACTGTAATACCCACTTCTCAGTTCCAAAGTATACAATAATGGGCCTTCAGTTTGACCGGCGCAGAGTAGAAAAGAACAGCACTATGCCAGAAAAGGAAGAAGACAACTCTCGGCCAAACTCTTAACCCGTGAGGAGCGTATAATCTGTACAGTACTGCACGGAAAAATTGACCATTTTATCCACTACAATTGTATTGCTTAAATGTGCTGTTATTGGTACCATTTACTACTGAAAATATCAACGAGATGTTTATTTATGTTTGAAGACATATTAAAGGCTTTAACGCTTGTTTTCGACTTGCACTACTATTAATGATTGAACAACACTTTTGGCACATCGCTAGATAAAGTAACTAAAGTATACATACGTTAACTTCAAAATTGGAACAAAAAGCGTCTAGCAGAGATTACCAATATCGAATGCGCATGTATATTTACATTACAATTGCTTCCTAATTTCTGTTTATTTCCTTTGACTAATGCACCTTTTAAAGGTCAAGTTATAGTTAGGTTAGTTTTGTAATTCGTTTATTGCGGATATTTTCAAAACATCCGGAATTGCCTGTGACCTGATCTTAACAAATTGCTAGTTTGCAATATATGATTTGACAGACTCTAATGTAATTAATAAATGTATAATCGTTCGGAAGTTTGAACATCATATGTTGGCTTTGAGCTCTAATGGTTAGAAGACTGGCCTTACTTCATTTTTGAAAACATTGTTAGTATAGGCTAGGATTAGACAATTCAAATGCTCTAAACATCTAGAAGTTCGTAGAGATAAAACTTTCTACAAATCTGATTAGAATTTTAATAAACATATAATACAAGACTAATCAGTTCTCTATCTCACTTTAGAGAATGTACAAAAATTTTGTTACAATAGCTCATTTCTGGTTAAAATTTTTAATAAATATATGTACATAATATTTGAAAAGATTTAACAGAATGTACAATATTCTACCTAAAACAGTAGACAAAATTTTTTATTTCTTTTAGCTTATAACTATTATTAAATTAATTTCAAGTCGTAACATTTTCATCAGATTCTGTTCGAATTTCAGCGTGTGCAAAAGGATCTTCGTTAACAGTTCCATCATTTTTCTTAATAATACCCCACTTTTCAGCTGCTTTTAGGGCTTTTTCAATTGCAGGTTTGACATTCTTTATACCATCTTCTTCCAATTTAAGCAAAGCCATCAAAATTTCCATAATATCAGTAGCTATAATTTTTTCAGCAACTTCTTGAGAAGATTCCATCATGTTCCTTATTATGGATACTCCCCTATACCTCACGTTATTATTGGTGTTCGCTAAAAGAGCACGTAAGCTGTCCAACCATCCACCGCATTCGAACATTTTCTTGCAACATTTTTCGCTGTTTCCTGTTAATATTGCAATAGCACCTGAGGCTGCAAGAACGGTTTCAAGATCTTCCTCTTGACATAGAAGAATGAGGTATTTTAGCTTATCGTTTTCGCCTTCAAACATTTTCTGAACATCTGGAGACATACAAAGGTTGGTAGTCACTTGAGTTGCTGCACGTTTTAACATTTCGTGGTCTTCGTAAATATAATGGTCAATTTTAGAGATGCCTTCTTCCTTGATTATTCTTTGACGAGCTGGTTCGCTTACTTGGGCTATGTTACATAGAGCCATAAGAGCTTCGAAATTCTCAAGACCACTGAAGTCGGTATTCAAAAGATATATTAACGGTCTAATAACTTCAAGAGTTCTTTGGCCAGGAAATGCTACTTCTGGGTTCATTGTAATACCTATACGGGCCAAGGCTTGGGCGGCGTGACGTTTACCTTTTTCTGTACCTTTAAGAGCCAGACTCATTAACACTTTTACTCCTCCTTGTTGCACAACAATCCCTCTTAATTCCTGTTCGCTGCAGAGAGAATTGAAAACCCTGGATATCAGTTCTCGCGAATTTGGGCTTTCGGTTTTTGAAAGAGCGACAAGTGCTGAAGTAACATTTTCCTTTCCCAGAATTAGAATACGTTTAGAAACGAAATCTGGATCATCAAGTTCATGTTCTTCGGGAATGTGTTGCTTGGCAAACTTGGCTAGTTCTATCATTTCTGGAATGACTTCTTGCTTTTCATATGCATTACACAAATTAACCAACGTTGTTATGACACCAAAGAGAACAGAATGATCACCACGTTTCCCCAGTTCTATCAGAGCCTGAAGAGAAGCTCGATCTTCGATTAGCTTTTCTTTAACTTCGGCATTCAGTGTGAGATAGGCAAGACCTTCTGCTGCCCACTTTTTCAAATCCCAGTTTTCTCCGGGATGCAACAGGAACCTTCTACATGCTTCAGCTAATTTAATAGTTGATCCTTCAGCCAATGGTTTCGCTGATGCATCAGTTCCACTACTGCTTCCTAGTTTGCAAAGACCTACTAGAGCTCTGACACGGACACCATCGTTCTTTGATTTATACAACTTCTTCAAAATGTCCATTCCCTTACTAATTATTGCTTTGGCTTTATCAGCCTTATTGGCTGCTGCAATCAGACACTCGCAAGCAACCCTTTGTTGAAGTTCATCTTCAGTGTTTGCCATCACCAAAATCATTTCCAAAATACCTTCTTTACCCACTATACTGTTGCCTATATCAAGAGTTCCTCTTAGAAGGACGGTGAGAGCTACTGCAACCCTAACTTTCGATTCAATATCAGGGGTAAGGAGTTTGTCTTTGATAAAGTCTTCTATTTTCTGAACGAATTTTTGTCTAGCTTCGTCGTAATACATATTTTCATAAATACGAGAGAGACACACCGACACAATAGATGCAGTGTTTGAAGTTATGTTCATAGAACTCTCGTACTTATACTCTTCTAATTCACTTGCTACCTCCATTAATTTTTGAATCCCTCCGATTTCCATAAAGCGTTCTGCCCAATTTAAAGCCGAATAATGAACATTTTTAGCCAGAAGTTCGATAAGAGCGTCACGAGCCAATCCCGTAATAGTTCTATTATTCAGAGAGTACACCAAACACGAGAGTAACATGTCTATTTGAAATTTGTTTTGTTCACAAAGTTCTTTATTCGGTTTAGTGTCTGCTTTGTTATCCATGCCTGAAAATGAATTCAGCACTATCTGCATACAATACTGGGCTGCATTAACCTGTTTTTCATCACTACTGTCCAAAATTTCTAAAAACCACGGCAAGCCAACATCTTTTAGCACAGTTTTTGTTTGTTCCGCAGAATGTCGACACAGTTCACCGATTATTCGTATTCCATTAAGGTAAATGTCGCGATTCTTTTCTACTTTTAGAAGTTGTTTGATTTTCTGGATAACACCAGCTTTTATTATCATTTCAGAACCGATCCTCTCACGTGCCAGCACCAACAAGTTGCTCATCGCTGTTTCACGTTTTTCTTTGTCAGCACATATGTCGAAAGCAATTTTAGACATACTTTCAACTTTTGTAACTGTTTGAGCATTTTCTCTAGCACGTTCCTGGACAATTTTGAATAATCGCTCCAATGTAGGCTGGATAGCTTTATTGTTTGGTTCTTGATTTAAAGCTTCACGAGCGTCTCTGTATGCTTCTTCAAATCTCCCCAGATTTTCTAATGCTTGGCTTCTTCTGAATAAAGTCTTAGGATCGGTTGGTATGATTTCCAATGACCTATTGCAATCGTTCAAGGCTTCTTCATATTTTTCTTGCTTCAAATAAGCAGCTGCACGGTTTTTGTAAAAAATAGCAAGGTTCCTTTCGTCCTTTTCTGCCAACTTGATTGCTTTAGTGTAATACAAAATTGCACTTTCCCAGTCACTGTTTTTGAAGGCTTCGTTTCCTTTCTCTTTTAACTGTTGAGCCTCTTCTGTATTAATTAGAACCATCTTCAAACTTAAACACTGTCAACTTTATAAAATAGATTAAATAAAATATTAGGTAGTGCGAACTTGTTCTGCTACTGTTCACAATCACTTCGTTTTTTATACTGATTTGAACTTGTAACCGACTACTCTTATAAATAATGTTAAGGAACTTTCTAGGTATTTCTAGATCAAATAAATTTAGATAATTTAATTTTAGTTCTCCAAATAAGCAAGTAAATATTTCTTTGGCAAACCTCCAGTTATTATTTTTAGGTTACATTACACAGGTTCATTGCAATGGAAGTTTCTCAATTACCAGGTTATTAAAAGTATTTTCAAGTTTGTGTCTTACACCATAAATCTGGCAAAATAACATGCTAAAATCATCAAAAATATCATCAAAATGTTTTGTAGTTAGACGTTTCAATTATTTAAAAAAAATGTACGACAAAAATTAAATATTAAAAATTAAGATATTTGGAATCATAATAAGCAACGTTGGGCACTGTAAACACTATCTGTCATCGTTAAAAAACGTTAAAAAACAATGGTTTTCAAAATTTAAAAGTTAATAATTTTTTTTTAATCAATAAATATTCAAATCATAAATCAGGAAAAAAAATGATAATTAGTTTATCTTTAAAGCTGATACGTAGTCTTTTAATAAAATATTTGTTTAGAATTGTGTATGTACGTGATGTAACCTAAACTAAATATTTGTTAACGACTTGACAAAATACCTGCAAATCTGCATGTAGTATGTAGTAAAACGCCAGCTTGGAATTAATATATTTCTAGTATGCTACACCAAAAATTAGCCAAAAACATTATCAGCGAATTGTACCAGTATGAAGACATCTTTAATCATCACGTTGAGACGATTCTGAAATCTCGACTTTTACTGGATGAAGATGCGACTTTACTATTAAGTTATTGGGATGATAGAAGCACTTTAAGAGAAGCTAAATGTACTAATAAGTGGGACGTTATTGCAGGATGTCTGGCAGTAGCGGGTATTATAAGTTCAATTAAATTGCGGATGTATTTTCTCTCGTTGTTAAGTGTTCCCTTTATAAGTAATATGTGGCTTAAAGGATATAGATGCTTAAATCATTATAAAATCAAAAGAGATTTCGAAGCTTTAGTGAAATGCTTAAGTAGCATGCATCAACTGAACAAAACAGCAGTTGATTACTTTTATCAACGTGATGTAGTGTTAGTAAATTACCAGTTCTCAAGTTCTGGAAATTTTATGAATTATTTTTACTGTATTCTGTTGAAGACTTTGGAAGAAATTAAAAAGAATATTTTACTAATAAATAAAACAATACCAGTTGCAGAGCCATATAATATGTATGTGGTAAATTGGGATTTGGAACAATTCAAATTGAATGATTTTAATGATTACAAGAAGACATTACTGCAATTGGAAAAAATGAGTGATTTTTATGTGTTAATGGTCTCAAATTTTCTTAGCTGCATTGGTTTAAGTCTGTGTGTAAACTTATGGCAATGTCCTACATGCAATTTTAGAATTATATTTAAAAAAGTTGTGCCTTCTACATTAAAAAATTTAGAAAACTCAGTTAATGAACTGGTTCGACAATTTAGTCAATTACGCTACACTCTTACAGATAAAAATGACACTGAAAACATGGAAATCAGAGCATTAGATAGCAAGAAGTATGTTGCTTTATATAAACCTCTAGAGGGTTTTCTATCCCATTTACAGATAACATTTGATATGGCAAAACTATTAGAAAACAATTTAAAGTCAAATCAAAATGATATTGCTGCTAATTCCAATATAGTCACAGCTGTATGTAACCAATTTAATGTTTGCAATGAGAATTTGCATTCTTTTGTCCAAAACTATGAAATAATTGTTAAGCGATCACTTAGACCAGCCCTGAAAGAAAACAATTCTCCAAGTGAAAGTAACGAAGAATTAAATGATATGAAAGCTGAGACAAAGATAAATAAAAATCAAGACGATTCTATAGAAAACTTGGAAGATGAGGAGTATAATTTGTATGTAGGTTATTCAGACGATGAAGAGGACGATTTTAGAACATCAGTTGATTATGTGGATCAAATGCCTATTGAGTATTTGGAGTTAATGTTAACAGAACTGAAAAGGAAACTTGATGAACGGAAAAAATTAAAAGAGAAACGTTTAAATCCTCTACAAGATGGTAAAGATGTGGGACCTAATGTTGGTTGTAATCTGCAAAATTTCGATGTAAATTCATATTCAGAAATATCTTCCATTGAAAGCCAATCAAACTGTAAAATGGATAAAAATGAAGTTGCTGTTTCTGATGTACTTTTGCCACTGGCAACTCCTCCACCACCTCCATTGCCCCAAAAAGTTAATAATTTAAAAGATAATGCACAAATAGTTACAACAGCTAATGATACTCAACAACCAGGATTCTTGAATGATATTAAACTTCTTGCTCAACAATTGAATAGAAAAGAAGACACCTTCGGATTTGGAAGTGATTTGTCAGATTCTGATAATGATAACTAAAACAATATAATACTACATAGTAACATAGCTACTTCAACCTTGTTTTCATGTTGCATTAAAAGTTTCTCACACTTTTTTCTCTTTTTTATTTTAGCGTTTCAAAATTTCTGTTCTGATTTCTGATTAATAGAAACAAACATATTTTGCCCTTTTTAGAGTTTCATACCTACTTCAAAAAAAAAAACAATAGATATTTGTCCATTGATCTTCAAAGACAATGTGATGGAGATGCTTCTACTTAAAAAGTTAAATTCATAAGTAGTTTTTAGAAATAAAGCAAAGATTTTCACAATACTATTCATTCTGAAACAGTATTACAATAATATTATTGTGAAAATGTTTAATAACTTCAATTGAATCAAAAGAAGTTCTGTGAAACAACTAAATAAACCATTAAAATCCGGTTTACATAAAAACTAAAAAGCGCTTTTATGTGGAATTGCAGGTTTTAGTGATTTATCTTAAATTTATAAACATTAAATTTAATTAAAAGATCGAATTGTATCATAGGCTTAGTTTTGGTATATAGGATGTTTACTTTTAATCATATGCTTTAAAGTTGCCGATTTTTATATATGTGGATTGGAACAAAGTGGACGGAGTTAAATATTTGTACAATTGGTTGCATATACATGTATCACAAAAATAAAATCTGAAAATTTAAGTACCATATGGCTGTATGCTATCATGCATGATGCTATCCATTATCGGCAGTCACACATAGTATACTTTTCAAAATTCCCAACTGTTTCTATGTTATTAATTAATTTGAACAATACCTGTATTTTGCTGAAATGTCTGTCAGCTGATCTGAAGATGACAGCACTGTTTTGATTATTATTTTGTATTGCCAGAATAATTTGTTTGTGTAGTCATTCGACTTAAAAATAAATACGTCTTATTTAATATTAAGTTTTACCCTACACCATCAACATGGTGAGAACAAACTTCTATTTTATAAATATTGTATTTTATATTTTATTCAATTAAAATTGTTTAACAATTAAGTTAACCTATAAAATAAAACAACAATTTTTTGTTACTAGATTTTGTAAATTATTGTTAACATTTGATGAATTTTTTTAATTAGTTTCAGTTTGGGTTTAATATGTTTCCTGAAATTCCACGCCCCTTTAATACCACCTATAGGTGCTACTCGGTGGCCATGTTACCAGGAAATGAAAGACAAGATGTTGAAAAAGGTGGAAAAAGTAAGCAAATATTTTAATTGATTGTATAAAGTATATTTTTATATTATTTAATATTGTATTTCAGTTATAATGCCTCCATCTGCATTGGAACAATTAACACGATTGAATATTAATTATCCAATGCTTTTTAAAATTACTAATAAGAAAACTAACCGTATATCACACTGTGGTGTTTTGGAATTTGTTGCTGATGAAGGGAAAGTTTATTTGCCATTTTGGGTATGTTTCTTTAAATTAGTGTTAATAGTTTACATACATTTAAGGATTTTTAACAGATGATGCACAATTTAGTACTAGAAGAAGGTGACCAGTTACAAATAGAGAGTGTTTCATTGCCTGTAGGCAGTTTTGCAAAATTCCAGCCTCTATCTCCTGACTTTTTGGACATAACAAACCCTAAAGCAGTGCTAGAAAATTGCCTAAGGACATTTGCCTGCCTAACAACAGGGGATGTTATTGCTGTTCAGTACAACCAGAAAGTTTACGAGTTGTGTGTATTGGAAACAAAACCTGGCAATGCTATAAGTATCATCGAATGTGATATGAATGTATGTTAAAAGATTTGTAGTTGTGTTCGTTTGCTTTTTACTACGATTCGCACTTGCGCATCTTTGAAAATTCAAATGTACGCGACAAGGACGCATGTGCATAACTAATTTTTGAAAATGCGGATACACGAATCAGACTAGCAAACAAGCTACATTACAAGGAATAATAAATAAATTTGGTTTGTAGGTTGAATTTGCACCTCCAGTAGGATATAAAGAACCTCAAAAGGAACAGGACACAGAAGAAATGACAATAGATCCTGCAGATTTAATGCCTGAACCTTCAGGTTTTGTAGCTTTTCGAGGACAAGGGAATCGACTTGATGGAAAGAGGCGTAAAGATGCTTCAAGTTCTGAAACTGATCAGCGTAAAGTCCAGTACGTCAGAGGGATTCCAGATTATGATTATGAAATTGGGACATTAAGATTTTTTAGACACCTTCAAAAATCATCTAGCTCTAAACCAGAAGAGGAAACTTATCCTGATTTTAAAGCTTTTAGTGGAACCGGATTTAGTTTAAAAAATAAACGATGAACAGCTTGGTGCTCACATATGACTATTTTTCAGTAAATCAGTTTTTGTTAATCTATCATATTAACTTATTAATAACTACTTAATTGTTTAATGATTCTGTCTATATTTAATTTTCAATAAAACGAGTTATGAACACTTGGGTAATTTGTCTTTTCCAGGCATTAATACCTATTCATATATTTAAAAAAAATGTGAATTGTTTTAAAAAATCTGTGTTTGATGTAATAAATAGTTGTTAGTTTTTAGAGAACAATATTCTACTTCTGGTTCATTAATTTATCAACAGAAAAATAAAAAAATTGGTCTGAGCACGCTTTGGTCGGTGCTAATACGACTAACTTCCCATTAGATAATACAGTTATTATTGATTCCGTAACTTCATTGTTGTGATTAGATTAGAACGTATTTTAATTAAATTGTTTGTAATTAATTCGTTTTTTTTTTATAAAAAAAAAACGGCTTGACCGATTTCGTTCAAATTTCTTTCAGATCTTCATTATGATAATATCTTTCGAAAAAATTTTGGTTGAGGGCGATATCTCAATCCGTTCTTGAGATATCGAAAACGAAAAAAATGCTGACATACGAACGTACGTACATACGTACGTACGTACGTACGTACATACACACATCATCAAAAAAATTGGCTAGCATGCTACTAATATGTTAAAACGTGGAAATATAATGAAAATTCCGATTTCACTTTTCGACCCAATTACAATAACTTCCTAATGGGAAGTTAATAACTGGCACCTTTCGAGGTTTCTAACCTTAAATACCAAAAATATAATTTATGACCTTTTTGTTAGCATTATGCGAAATAACAGGACAAAATAACCCAGACAGTAGTGTTCTCCATTTAATTTTCGATAGTTGAATATCTAAGAATTTATCCCAAATATTTTAACTTTAAAATCCGAATTATGCTAATATTGCTTATGACTTGCTTGCTTTAGAGAATAATATATATCTAGATTTTAAAATTTTAGCATACGTGCTAAAAAAAGTGGTATTCGAGTTGGATCTTAAAGAGTAGGTACATCCCAAAATATTACTCTTTTTCTTATTCTTTCTTCAACTCTCCATAGTGGCCTGAAAATCTACAGATTTCTCGAAAAACGGCACTACACGGCGGATTTAATAGAAAAAAAGGCATGTAGTGGACAACCATTTTCGATATATTTTCGTGCGTTTTAGAAAATACTACAAACGGCACAGTGAACGCCATCTGTAGCACGATGCTACATTTTAGGATTACGTATTTTTCAGGTCCACTTGTGTAGATATCTACTTGCTGAAAACGAATCCCGGCGTAGCCAACCTCAACGTGAAGGGCACGTTAGCTTAATCAAATAAAATAATTCGAAGTGGTCTGTATTACGTAATCCTAAAATGTAGCATCGTGCTACAGATGGCGTTCACTGTGTCGTTTGTAGTATTTTCTGAAACTTGCATTATTATTTATTTATCAATTCACCACTATGAACACTTTGTCACGTTTCTCCTTCATCGCTTTGTATCGTCTCGAACTTTCTGACTCGTACTCCTCACTCGATCTCGCGACAACTATTTCTGGAGACTTCACATTTTTTAGATTTTAAACCATTCCATCGGACTGTGAATGTAATGGCGTAGTCCCCGTTTCTAGTAATGTCCATTAGTTCAGTGATGTTCTTGAACAAAGCTTATTCGAAGATCCTGCTATGGTCGGAATTCAATTCCAATGGTATTCCATATCCATATTCCATATCGGTCATTGATAATTTTCTCAGCAACGGTCAGTGCTTCCTGGTTCGATATCGCATATGCTTCAGGTCACTTGCTAAAGTAATCCGTCACCACCAAGACGTATCGGTTACCAGAGTCCGTTACTGGGAATGGTCCTGCAACGTCGACTGTGATTCTCTTAAATGGCGTTCCCACATTTAAGTGCTGCATTTGTCCACGACTCCTTGCTTTCGATCCTTTGCTGACGGCGCATATCAGGCATTTTGATTCACCAGTCTTCCACATCGCTTCTACTTCGTGGCCAATAAAATCGCTCGCGTGTACCTTCTCTAGAATCTTAGTAACGCCGAAATGTACTTCGCCATGGATTGCTTCAAAGTTTTCTGAATTTTTTTTCTTAGTACCATTGGGGCGTGACTCCATTTGAACTTTCACACATACTTTTATTCAAATTAAGTCCACTGCGCCCAAAAGTTTTCGTTGTTTGATTTAGGTGACTTATATCTGCCCACGATGGTCGTGAGGTTCCGGCTTCTTTCCATCTCATTATTGGGCCAATGTTTTTGTCTTCTTCTGATCTTCAACTAATGCCTCATCTTCCCAGGATCCCTCAGGCTGAAAGATGATTAGATTACAACAGATCGATGTCAACTCTTCCTTCATCACCGCAGATGAACAATGTTTCTAGTTTTTCACGAATGGTCTCCGGAATAGTACATCTGCGTTGCCGTGTTGTTTGCCTGAGCGATGCTCGTTGTCAAACTCATATTCTTGAAGTAGTTGTGCAATATGTCCTTCTTGGGTTCTTGAATTGTAGTAGCCATTTTAGGGAGGCGTGATCCGTTCTTAAGAGGAACTTTGGTCCATTCAGGAATCTGTGAAAATGTGGGGGGGGGGTTTAACGACACTCAGTAAGTAGCTCTCGAAGTGTGACACAATAATTTCGTTCTGATTCCGAGAGTGTTTTACTAAAGTAACTAATGACTATTTCCTATCCACCTTATACTCGGGATGACACACCACCAAGTCTCACATTACTAGCGTTGGCATCAACGATGAAGGGTTAACTGAACTGTGGGTACGTCAAGATTGGGGCTTCAGATGTTCAAATGTTTTTTGGCGTTCAGGTCTGTCTTGGTATGGGCCAATTTCGTATGGCATCCGTTTTATCGGGGTCGGTTATAATTCCTTCTGATGTTATAACATGGCCTAAGTATCTCACATCTCTTCTAAACATGATGCATTTCTTGGAACTTGGCTTTAATCTTGCGGCTGAGAATTTCTTGAAAACTTCATTCTCCATGGATTGGTGAAGTCTTTCCGGTAGCTGTAGTCAAAATCAGTCTTCTGGCGAAAGGCGAATTTGCCATTCCGATACCATATAAGGGCGAAAGATAGATGCCCCTGCATCGATAACCAATTTAACATTGTGCTGATTTATAGAGCCTTCAATAAATAATGAGTTAGCACCGTCCAGTCTTGAAATGATGACTTCTTCGGGGGCTTCGTGAGGGTGAGTCATCTTGCGCCTCATAAAGTTGGCTGATCTTAATTAACCGATTGTCGTGGTTTAGTTGAGGGGCACACTCGACTTATGTGACCTATTTTTCCGTAAATCACATCAAATCAAACACTTTTGTTTCCATCCTAGCAGTGGCTATCTTGATATTGATTGCACATTCCCTAGTGAGCGACATGACACCTTCTATTGTAATTGCTTGATCGTCGGTTTCTATTTGTCGCGCTCGTACATGACCCTTGGAGGCTTGTTTCGCCGCTTCAAATTCTAGGGCGTGTGACACTGTTTCATCTGGAGTCTTGTAGGGTGCTAATATCAGGACTTGTTGTAGTGCGGCGTCCCTGACTCCATTGATAAATGTTTGTACCGCCAGTTGGTCTATGAATTCTTGAGAGGTAGGCTAGTCTCAAACAATAAAAAAAAGAAAGAGGGCGTACATAGGATTTGCAGAGGAAAGCGCAGGGTCGAGTCGCCTTTAATAAAAATAAGTCACTTCTATGCTCTCCAACGGTTAATTTAGAAATTCGAAAAAGGTTGTTAAAGGTGTATATTTGGAGCACGGTGCTGTATGGCTGCGAAACATGGACAGAAGCGTTTGAAATGTGCTGTAATAGGCGAATTATGAAGATACCGTGGATAGAAAAGGTTAGAAATGAAGGGGTATTAGAAAAAGTAGGAGAGCAGAGGACTCTATAGAGGTCAATAAGAAATAGACGAGATAGGTTAGTAGGACACCTTCTCAGGTATGAAGGTGTAGTCAGAGAGTGAAAGTCAGGGTCAGAGACATATTACAGGCAGAAACGGGAGTTAGGAGGGGCAGAGGTAGACCTAGATTAGATGACTGTTCGCAAATAAGTAGTTAAGGAGGTGGGTTGTTCTAGTTTTAGGAAAATGCGAAGATAGGAAAGAGTGGAGGAGGGGGTCCAATTAGTCTTAGGAGGATGAGGCCAATCTCACGAGACGCTCCACATCGGACGCAATTTGTTGCAGAGTCTCGTTACTTCTTTGGTTGCGTATGTAGATGTTTATTGCAGTATCTCATTTCTAGGCGGTTGACAAGAAGGTGGAAGTCATATTGTTGGGACTCGGGCATTCCTTGGAGTATATCCAGCGCCTCTCCTCGTAAAGAAATTATTAGTACTGTTGCTTTCTCTGAATCAGTCCATAAATTTGCCTCTGCCGCTGTTCCAAACTGCTTCAGATAAACACATCACGAGATTTTTCCATCAAAAGTTGGAAATTTAATTTTTGATGGTTTTGTACCGGAATCTTTAGTTTTTGTAGTAGAGGATAGACTTAGCCTTTCAATTTCTTCTCTCACTTCTTTTCTTATTGCTTCTATGTTCTTGTCCATTATGATTTTCCTTTCTTCTATCTCCTTTTCCATCGTGATTTCCCTTTCTTCTATTTTCTTTTCCATTTCATTTCTAATATCACTTATCTTGTCCTCCATTCTTATATTCATTGCTTCCTGTACTGCTTTCATTTCCTTTTTCATTTCTTCTTGTCCCATTTTCATTTCTTCTTACCCCAACCTCATTTCTTCTTGGCCTTGTTCTATTTTTTGTGTCATTTCTGCCATCATTGCCATTAATGGCTTTGTTTGTTCCTCCAGTTTGCTTTGGTACTTCTGGTTGTAACTTACCTGAAATATTTCGATGTCTTATATAAACTTCAATAACGTCGTATTTGTTCTCTTTTCTTTAAGAGGTTTCCAACGATATGTGACTTGTTAGGATTTTCTTGCAGTCACCGATGAAATTCATCAACGATGTCCGATTCTATCTTCTCACTTCGAGAGCTTTCTAACTTTGTATCACTTTTTAGGATATCTCTTAGCCAATGGTAACTTCCAGAAAATTGGCCGATGAACGCTCTCTTTAATCCTCTTCAGTCTCCTTCTACCCTACACCTGACACCAAATGTCGCGCATTTAAACATATTTTCGAACGATTACTACTTTTATTTAACTATTTTTAGTCTAATTAACATTTCTATTATTGTCACTGCTCGCTCCTTCTTCTTCCCTTTATACCGCTCTGAACTCTCTGACTCGTACTCCTCACTCGATCTCGTGATAACTGTTTATAGAAACTGCACGTTTTCTATAAATTTCCAGTATATACCGCCTAGAATCCTGTCCTTCTTTGCTACTATGTATGTTGGGTTGTCTAAATATATGTGACAATATTTTAAAACCCTGACGTACTGAGACAAGCCTGATCGCGAGCTCTGAGGTCGTACAAATTCGGCTTCACAAATTACGTGAAAAATAACCACCTTCACCTATGTATGGATACTAGACTACCTACAGGGATATCACACTTCACACTTGCCTATGGTCGTTATACTTTTGCTTTTGCTTTCGCAATGAGGGTGGTTCTAACGAATGACGTGTCTATCTTCGTGATGGAAACTATTAATAAATATGTCATCGTACAGGTAGAAATCCATATTTCCGGAACCGCTCACGTAGTATCATCACATAAGCACCAGACCGGCCTCCTACGCGGACACTTATTGATACGAAAATTAAAATAAGAGTGCGACGGATTAACAAGAAGTTTTCCATCACAATTGTAGTTGGTTAGACGAGGTAGGCTAACTTTTGGACCACTTGGTTTAAAATACTGACCTCTTGGATTTAACTACTGTCATGTATATTTAAATATTTAAAAAAGGGGCCAGTTCCTTCACATTTAAATATTGACATTTTTTAAATTTAAATAGATAATACTCATAAAAATCGATTAAAATACTGAATCGGATTCCCCGGATCCAATGCTTTTATCGGATTAAGTTAAGAATGTAAATTTCTTGAATAAAGTGTAGGGAAGTGATCCTACAGGAGCTTCCGGATTATTCTGAAGTACGAAACCATAAGAGAAGTGCACCACAGTTAAAATTGTGAAATATTAAATGTTTAAATACTTTTACTAATATTTTATTTCTAAAATTTTTGTTATCTGCAACTCCGTAGGCAATATGAATCAACGATGCTCATTTCTGGTATATTGTTTAATCAATTCGACACATACTTTTTGGATGTTCTTTGCATCTTTGTATGCCAGTGTTTATGAAAGGAGAAAGGGAAATTGACTCAAACATCTACAAAAAAGTTTAAAAATTCCTTAATCTCAATTAATTTTATTTAACACTGATTAATCACAAGACTACACAATTGTATGTACTAGGACAGTTTTACATGAATGTAAGAAATTAGAAATTATAAATGAAACAAATTACAGTAGCCATAATAGTTATTACACTTGTTCGTAAACTATTTCCAGATGATGTACCATATTTTATTTCGTCCAACCATCTCGCTATTGTTGTCCGAATTGTGAGTTTTGTTTGTCTGATTTGTTCGGAATCACTATTTGATGCAGATCTGAGATCGGCACAGTGAGAAGAACCTGAATTTAAAAAAAAAAACATTGAAGTTAGTCAAGCAGCCTTTTTGATGTCTTTGTCACTTATTCTTTAAGGAATTGTTTCACGTTTCCAATTTGTTCAAAGATATAGATATAGAGTATACATAAGGAAAGAGTGATTGAAAAGTCTACACAACCAGGATCCATAGAAGAAACAATGACAAAATTACATTAAACTACAAAAAGCAAAAAACTAAACATTCTAGAAAATATTAAGATGTCAGCCGCAATCGCCGACGAAACGTTTGGATCTATTAGTTCATTTAGACCACGGCCCTTCAGCACTAATTATACTTCAACTATGGACTCCGGCCAAAAAACCTATATACTTATAAAAAATACAAATACCAAATTGCCTGATCGTTTCATGTCATTAATAAAACGTTAAATCTTTGACAGATGTAAGACACTCTAAAGCTAGCACATAGACATAGAGAATGGACATGAAATTGACCATTCCCCAGAAAGAGGGAGACAATCATTCGGCTAATATCAGTCTCTTTCTCTCTTTATTTACCTCATTTTACCGCTTGTAACACTGTGATATACTAGGGTCAATTGAAAAGTCCCCGGCCTGACACATAGATGGCGGCACCAGAACTAAATCTGTGGGGATTACACTCATACAAGTAAACACACACATAACCTCAGTACACTCTACAACTACCTCTTTGCTCCATGACGACACAGCGCTCCGTACGGAGACTCGTGAAGTCAGGGATCTCAGGTTGGTAACAATGAATGTCACCAGCTTGGTGATTCATATTAGTTTTATTCATCGACTGTTTAGTCAGTAAGATTTTGTACTGCTTCGAACATTGATCAACCTCCTGTATTAATATTAATAAATTGTTATTGTTATTCACATTCACGCTCATTTAATTATATGTGCGAGTTATACCGAACCCCCACA